AAGCATCTTATGACCACTGGGTGCACTTCTTCCTGTGGGAGGTGGCAGGAGCCTGCTGTAGTGGCATGAGTATTTCCTGGGAACCTGGTGATCATAGGGAAGCCCAGCTTTGAGAACATCCTGAGATGGAGCCATTTCCTGCAGGAAACAGGTTATTCTAATAAACTTAGAAAATCAGTGGTTTCGAGGAGAATAAGTGAACGTACCTGCAGCAGAACCCTGTTCTCCTGGCATTGGGAAAGCAAAGGGATGATGGACTCTCACCCACTGCAGAGGGGGTGCTGAACAAAAAGAGAGGCAAGTTTTAGATGGGGTTTTTTTTGTTTTGTTGGTTTTTTTTTTAAAGTGATTTGATGCCCAAGCCTCATCATTGCTTGTAGTATATCATGCTTTGGCTTTGTACAGCAGCAGAGGCTGGTGAGGGTCCCTGTAAACAGCAGCTGAAATCCACCCCTCAAAGTGAGCAATCCCTTCCAGCAGGGCAGTTCCCTGGAAGTGTTTTGCAGTATTTCACATGCTAGGAAAGCAGCCCCTTCCCAGAGGGGTGGGTGTTGCAGGCAGCTAGAAATAGCTCCCTTTTCTATTTATGGTGGTTCTTGTTAATGTTGTCAAAGTGCAGAATTAGCCAAAGGCTTCACTGCAGAAACACTTCCGTTTGCTTCCAAGTTACCATTTGAGCCCGAGGGCCAAAACGTTCTCTGGAGGCATGGTTGAAAGGGGAAGTACCATTGTCAGGCTAAGCTGATGTATTATGAACACTGTTCTTCCACCTGAATTCCCAGTTGTGGTTTTGTGTGTACAATATAATAGTGGTATTGTATTATAATACTATAATGTCTAGAAGTACTAGAATAACTCTACTTTTATCTCAGAAACTTTAAGAACAAATACAGGCTAGCTAGGTGTTCAGTCAGGGCATGGCTATCTAATTAAAATGCCTAGGTAGGGGAATTTTGCTGAATCTCTGTAATTTCAGAGTCAAAAGTGGCAGTAACAGCCATATTAGGACTCCAGTGCTGTCCCCAGGAGAAGCTCCAGGCCCCTGTTCAGGGTGTTTGAAACCACTGCTTACTCACAGAAATCAATTTAAAACTTGTGCTGTGAGTCAGAGGGTAATAAGCAGCTAGCTGATGAACACAGAGTTAGTCAAAACGGCAGCTCACCTAATTACCACACTTTTATTCTCTTCCTTAGCCCCCCCAGCCCCTTCAAAAGTAGCGCCACCTGATCCATGCTGGAGGGAGGTTTTCCTTGTTTTCAGTCCACTTCACTCTAGGAACGCAACTGTGCTGGTTACATTAAGAGCCTAGTGACCTCAAGGACCTCTTCCCCGTAATGCCAGTCAATGAAATGAAAATTAAATGTTGATGACATGCACGAGACGCGTTTCAGTTGCCTCTTGGGTTTTGACTGGAGATGGAGTCAGATTGTCTCTTCACAGAGCTGTCAGGGGCAGGAGTGGAGTGATGGAGGGAACAAGAGCAGCGCAATTCCTGCAAAGCAGGCAAAAGGAGGAGTGGTGAAAGGTAAAGTGCATGCTTCAAAAAACAACTTGAGGCAACAGCAGAGCTGCTCTGACCTACTGAGATCAGAAGTGGACTTTGAAGTAGGGTGAGGGGAAACTAGAGCAGGTATATCTTAGAAGATTGTCAAGTCAACCTGTTTTGTAGGCTAATAAGCTGATTTAGGTCTTGTGTTGTGCACGGTTCTTGTTTTACTGCGCAATGGATGAAAGCAGGCCAACTGCTTCTCGGGACGAGTGGTTCAAAGGCACCTAATTGGTGTCATTCATTAACAGGCACACATCTGGAAAGGATACACAGTATAAGGACAAGCCCCCTGCTTGTCCTGGGTGCTGGGGAGCAGGTCATACTGCAGGCGGGTACAGCATGCTCCACAGCCAGAGGCACACAGGCTCCTTCCTCAGCCATTATCTATAAACAGGTACCATTTCTGATTTTATTTCATCATAACATACAGGTAATGCTCATGACACAACAAGATGAGAAACTCACATCTCTCTGAACCATTCCAACAGCTTGCCATACACCAAAGAACATTATATTCATATTGAACATGTACACATTTCCCCCCTGCATCCTCTGCTTTGCCTTCCAAACATCTGCAAACCATTTCCAGCATTGTTCAGGTACAGGACACTAGTTCAGACAGGAGACAGGGCACCACCCTGCACAGGAGTTAAGGCTTCCTCCTACAGGAACCCATCCCCTAAAAACAGAGCCTACAACTTTGATTCATTCAGTGACTATAGCGTATTGGAAATCACAAAGAGCCAGAAGACCAGATTTCAGTTCCTTAGACGGCAATTAACCAAACAAAACCCAAATGTACATATTTGTTATGTATAGAGAAGGAGAGAACACGCACATATGAAGGAGCACAAAAGACAGGAAAATTCTGTTTCTGCCTCTAGGGACTGATTTGTGTTAACCCCCATTAACTGATTTAAATCAAAGACACAGGCTTTTACTGAAATCTGGCTGAGAGGAGCACTGCTAAATCGTTTACATACGTATACACACACTCTGTGTGTGTATATATGGTGAAAATAGTTGTACTGTAATCGCTTTCACTTGATATGTAAACAGAGACAAGTGGCAGTATGTTTAATGAATAGCCGAGACCTGACATGCTTTCCAGTGTGGTGTCAACCTATCCCTTGCCTGGACTGCTCCTCCTTCCAGCATCTTGTACTCACGCCAGGAACGCAGCCTTTGGGTTCAGTTACTCCTGGTGCTGCCTCTCTCTCTATGCCTTTTGCACTTTTTAGGATCAAGTTAATCAATGCTGTAGCTTTCAGTGCTATTTTAAAACAGTCTGCTGTAGGAAATTAAAGTCACATCCTAGCCACAAAACAATAACAAAATCTTCTCTGCTTTTTAATATAGTAAAACCTGAGATTTGAGTCACAAACTAGCTAAACTTACAGTAAAAAAAAAAAAAAAAAAAAAAACCAAAACAAAACATAACCCAAGCTGCTGACTTGAATTAGGGCTTCAGTTTGCTGCTGACAAATATTTTTTTTAAAGCTGTTGGCCAGGGGTAAGTATTTGTTACACGTGATTTACAATTTTCAGCTGCCTGCACTGAAATGGGACAAAACAATAGCTCCCCTCCTGATACACACACTCTGAGGGGTGCTGGGGAAGACCCAAGATAAGGTGTGTGCAGCTCCCACTGGAGCAGGAAGGATGAAGCTTTAGGCTGTCCCTCTGGTACCACCCCTCGCTGACCGCAAACCTCTTGCAGCAACGTGAGCGCACAACACAATCTGAGCAGGAGCAGCCAAGGTACCCCACAAATGGCAAGCTGGAGGGGAAGCAGCTGGTTTGCTGTCAAAAACAACACGAGAAGGGCTGTGCCTAATCTTCCATGAAACACCCTGCTGGCAGCCGGGCAGTGACACCTCCTTGAGCTGCTGTGTTCCTGGGGGGGTGATGGCAAGGACGCGGTACCAGCAGCAGCAGCACAGCTAGAAGCATCTGCAGCCAAGTCACGCATCAGCACGCTGGGAAACCAAGACCCTACCCTGGGACAGAGGACAAGGGCCAGGATCAAGTTCCTTGGAGCTGCATGTGGAGGAGGTAAGCAGTCATCCCATTAAAGCTGTCTCTTCTCAAACCCCCTCTCTTTCACACTACACTATGAGATGGGATGCTGGAGGTCCCCTCCTGTTTTCCTTGGCCAGCCAGCCAGCCCTCTCTTTCTCAGATGAAGCTGGAAAACCTAATAAGAAGCTTCTATCTCCAGGTCCCCACAGTTTGAGTGAGGATGTTGGGATGCAAGAAACCCAGCCACCTGAATTGCCCTTACCCCACAGGTGACTGGCACCATGTATGAAGAGCAGTTCTTTAAGGGTACTGCTCAGTTAAGGACAAAAACCCAGTTTTAGCTTTAAAAAACAAACAAAAAGCCTTCAAGAGCCATCTATTGAATTGTCAGTGGGCAAGAAAAGGATGTTGCAGTATTGTACCAGCCACTTCTCTTGCACGTAACCCTAAGTATTAACCTCTTTGTGACAGCTTGGAAGCCAAAGCAGCTACCCCTCTCCCAGAAGCCAGCTTAATACCAAAAATACAAATACTGCTTCTTTTATGTTTCAAAAGACTGGGGGAAACAATCATAAGTATGGTTCATTCATCTTTAAGAATTGCTGCTGAGCTAACTGAAACACTTGTGCGTAGACAGCTTTAAAAAAAAAAAACCAACTAAAATTCAAATGTGGCTAGTCGTTACTTGTTCACATTGCTTATGAACTGACTACCAGCACCTGGCAGCCATAAAGCCCTAGTTTATTTTTTATATTTTTGAGGTACTGGGGTTTGTTTTTTTTCTCTGAAGCAGCTCTCTAGCAAATCACCTAAAGCCTATCCGTTAGAACAATAGTTACACCAGTATTTACATTTGTCTGAACTGTGTGTTCAGACCAGCCTTGCTGTAACCAGTCCCTAGGTCCTTTGGAATCACTCCCGATCTCCCTTCTTACGGGGAAAAAGGTCTCCCTCCAGAGGTTGGCTCAGTGTCAGGGCTAAGGTGCACTGGTGAAGACGTGGGGCAGGAGGAGGGGAGAACAAAACTAGCTTTGATGGGTAGGAGCTTGTTTCAGTGGAACCAGAGAAAGGGTTTGATACCAAAAGAGTTTCCTTTTCAAAAACCACTCAAAGGATGTGCAATCCATTGCATATAATTGCTTCCTCTGTCAGGGAAAGATCTTTGAAAGGTCTGCCCTTCTCCAGGAAAGGGGAGGAGAAAAACCCAGCGATACTCTCAGTCTCCTCAGGCAGATGCTCACTTGTCATTTCTTTGCCTTATTAATCTAGTCGCTGCATTCACACTGAAGCCTTGATTTCTTCCCTCCCCCCTGCCACCTTTTTCCATGAAGTTTATTGTTTTCAGATTTACAGGGACCTCTCAAACGCTGGAGGAGCAGCCTCGAGGGGGGAAGCAACTCCGATACAGTCACACGACCCTGCTGCCCCTCAAGACACTTCAATGATTTCCATGCTGCCTGAAAAGCTCGACTGACTGCCTACTTTCCCCAGTTCTTCTCTGGATCTGTTGTCTGACATGATGCTCTCCCCAAACTCCATCTGGCAGCTTCTGCGCTTAAACTGCTTTTCAAAAGAGCTTTCCTCGTGCCAGCTCCGCCTGGAGTCACCTCGATCACCCTGCTTTGGCCTCCTGCGCACAGCACAGGCTTGGTCACAGCCCGTGGGCAGCTGACTACAGCTGTAGGCAGAGTAAGCTGTGCTGTTCCCATAGATGGTAGAGGCAGAGTAGAAATGCGAGGACTCAGTTGCAAAATACCAGCTGTTGGTAAGGGACGTAGCCGATGTCTGAGGAGCCAAGATGTCCGAGTGCCAGCCTTTGAGGCCCAACCCAGCAGCAGACTTTGCCAAATGCTGCTGGCTGGTGGAGAGACCAAACAAGAAGTTCGTTCGGTAATTGTCTTCGACACTCCCGCTCCTGTGGAGGGGGTACAGGAGCGACCGCTGAGTGGTGGCACTGCTGGTGGCTCTCCCCAGGTGTTGCCGTTTGCTCTGGGTATCCAGCTGCCAGGTGTTCTGGGGTTTCTTGGGAGGGTTTGCTTCCTCTTTATCAGGGCTGGTTTCTGGGGTCTGCTCTGAGACCTCCTGGACAGGGGAGAACTGACACAACTTACTGCTGCCCTCTAAAGCAGTCGTGTGTTTGTAGTATTCCAGGGTGTCTTCAGAGGAGGCAAAGCCCTGAACAGATGCAGTCACACAGTTGCTACTTGCCGAGTAGGACACAGATTTGATATCCAAAGAAAAGGAGCGCTTCAGCCGGTTGCTGTCCTCCACCTTATCGAGGGAGACGTGCAGTCCGTTTATGCCCTGTTCCAGTGGGCCATCTTCTAGAGGGGATGAGTGCCTGTGTGGTGCGCTGCCACAGTCCGTCGGCTTCTGTTCCACCAGCTCGGAGGTAGTGGTAATGCAGAGCTGGTTCGTGGAGAGACTGCTCTGCCCACCTTCTGGGACCACCATGTGCTCACTGCTTTTTTCCAAATGCAGAAGTTTCAGCTTACTAATATGTCCAGGCTGACTGCTCTGGTTCTTAATCTTTTTCTCAAAGTCCAAAAGCTGGCCCAGAAAGTTGAAGTTGGGAGAAATGGTTGGCCTTTTTTCTTTCACAAATCTGGAAAGAGGGGGACAAACAAAACAAGACTTAATTTAAGGACCTGCTGCTCAGACCTGAGGTAACCCTAGAGCAATTGTTGTGGATGCTAACAGGCTAATCTTAACTTGTCAGGAGGCCTGGACTGAGGTTCAGTCAAGTGCAGGAAACATGGATTTAAAAAAAAAAAAAGCTTTTAAGCAAGATAATGCTGGATGCTCTCAATTCTCTCTGTAGCTTACTTAAAGGTGGCTAAACAGGGGGAAAGAAAGCATTCTTTTTACCTCCTTATGATGCCCACAAGGTTTGAGGGAATAATTTTTCCTTATTTTACTTCACCAGTGGGATCTCTGCTAGCTTGGTTTCTGACCAGAGTTAAGAGCTCTTCAACATTCTGGATGAACAGCATCAGAGCTGTAGCCAAGAACCCTGAGCCTCCCCCTGCACAGCAGAAAGTCGACCACCTTCCACACCCTTCAAAGGGATGAAACCTCATGTTCCTTTCACCTCTCTCATGCTCTTGTTATTGCAGAGAGCGCTTCCTACCCTGTTTATCTTTGCCAGGCAAGACAAAGAGCCCTGACCTATGCTGCCCTTATACAGCAAATGCCAGCGATTTCTACTGTACAGTGGTATTGACCTCTGATATGATCATCAAAAAGAAAAACAGAAAGGAGTAAATGCAGCATTAAACCAAAAGCATTCTCTCCAGCTCTGTAGGTGTTCAGCAGTAAAGGGCAACAGTAGTAGCAAATCACTGGAAGAGTTCACCTCTTCGCAAGTCCCGTAGGAAGGAGGCTGACTCGCATGCACATGCCAGCCTCAGCGTGCACTTACATACTCGCTTGAATATGGACAAGGTGCAATGCATACTTAAAATGCTTTCCTGAAGCAGGACTCTAAATGTAGGAAAGACTTCAGTATTAGAAGTCATGTCATATACTTCAAAGTTAAATACAAAAGCAATACTTCCTACCTGTCTGATTTGCAATATAGCTAATAAGTACTATTTGCTTCTTACAGACTGTAAAACAGAAAGGTGCCCAAATCCTTCCTCTTTTTTTTTTTTTTTTAAATCATGCCTGGAATTATGAAGGCACCTGATGACAAGGGAATTAGCAAGGGAAGAAACCTTGAAGAGCTAAATCTAGTACAAACACACATATAACATATCACTGGGAAAATTAAATATTATTAAAAGCAAAAAAATCTCTCTGGGGATGTGTACAGAAGGTGAGTTGCAGTCATTGAAAACAGCATGAAAAAAATTCAAAGGTGTACTTGTGAGTATATGTGTACACTACCACAAATGCAAGCAGGCACATGAAAAATACCAAATAGAACTTGCATTTTTTTTTTTTAATGTAAGTTGCCAAACAACAGTGGGAATAGTTGAACTGACATGAGGACCTGGAAGATCAAAAGTGATAAACTTCCATCATGAAGTGTGCACGCCAGCAAATGGAGAAAACTAGTAAGTCACCTCAGAAGAGATTCTTTAGGTCAATCTCCCAGCATTGAATTTGAGGGCTGTTATTCCAGCATAAGCAACTCGCTCACAAGAATTCATACAGTCATCATTCATTCTTTTCCCATCAAAGCTAGCTGTACTTGTTTCTGGATTTGTTATTTAAAGTAAGATCCTTCTGGTCAACACTGCAATTTCTGGCCTGTGTCCTGTTCTCTTTCTCCCTCTTCCACTTTCTCCTCTTCTCACCCCAAAATATCGGGCAGTCCTAAATTTAAAACTAGCTTTTTAAAAAAATTAAAAGGGCTCAAGAAAGTCTGCTGGATCCCCCCAACAACTTTGAAGGCTTTGCAAACTTTTTAATTTCAAAATGCACACTCTCTTTTCCATTTTTAAGACAAGCATAACGTTTCATTTTGTTGTTTGTTTCCCTTGTATTATACAAAATTGAAGATTAAAAACGTTTATTTCCTCAGATCTTTCCCTTCAAGTAACAGTGTCACCTTTTTATTTTTTTAAGTGTCAGACAAAGATTTTGTCCAATGACTTTCATTAACTCAGAGGAAAGTATTTTACTTTCAAGCTTTGGGCTCTCTTGTTGGCAAACCAATGACTGAAATGCGGTGTGGACTGTTCTCACTAAGCCATATCCAGGGAAATGCATGAAAATATCATCTATATTTCACACTAGTTGTTCAGTATTAACAGTGCAAAGAAAAAAAGGCCTAGGATTGATTAATTGTTCGCACTCAGTTGACACTCCTGGTTAAGAAACAAACTAGAATTTAATGCAGAGATTTCCCAGAGGAATTTAGAAGCAGCGATTCAGAAGTTCCCTGAAGCCTGTGCATTTTAGTACTCTACAGCTTAACATCCACACCACTGCAGCCTGCCACCAGGCAGGTTTTTTTAGTGACTCAAGCCCAGACCTCGTGCAGTATCCATCCACATCGACTAATTCATCCATATTATCTGTACCTGTAGAACTGTGAATTGTGATCTATGCCTCTTTATCAAACCTGGTTCACCATACATGTTGAAATTACTGCACAACACCAAACTCTCAGCAGGCTCTAGTAAGAAATGGTGGAAAATTTCTAAAGGTGATGGGAGATGGTGGTAGTTCAGGCACCTCTTAGATGCACTTTTTTCTCTGCATATATGGTTATGTTCATGAGCTTAAAAGAAAATGCCCGATGGAAATAATGCTCCACAAGGGAATATCAAATGTTCAGCTTTCTGCCCTCATTGGCATTTTAGAGATAGTAGCAGCAAACACCCTAGTGAGTTAGAAGGTGCTCCTCTCCCCCTGCTCCACAGCAATTGTTCAAATTGCTCCTGCACCACACGTGTTATAGCAATGCGTCAGCTGTGCCAACCAGCATATAAAGCCCATCAAAAAGAAAAACCCATCATTTTCTGTACAACATAACAAAGCCAGTTGTTAAATGAAATAAGTCACGGTAAACTGCCACCAAGCCACCTGGAATCTAGTGAAGTGTTCACAATCCAAGTACAGAAACATGGGAATTGAAAGGTTAAAGAAGGTGGGGGTTGGGGAGGGTGGTCCCACAAACATTCCCTGATGCCAATGAAGAGCCAACACTTCAAAATACTTTCCGGTGCAAAGAAGCTTTCTAAATTCCTCAACGTTTTACCTGCAGGCACTTCTTTGAAAGCATTATTGAATACCAAACTGAAGTCAACAGCCCCAGCCTAGCATTTGTCATAGGCATGATTATAAATATCCTCAGTTCTCCTTCTTTAACCCTAGCCACTCCATGCTCCTGCTGACTAAAAAGACATTGTTATATGTGTGCTATAGCTCTGTGTGTGTATGTATGTACATACACACTTGTAATAAGTAATTTAAACAAAGACATATCAGCATTTTGCAGGTGGGGAATTAGTATTAGGTGTGTGATGTCTACACAACATCACTGATTTGTTTATGGAGGCCAGTGAACTACCAGATAAAATGTGTCCTTCTACCCTTGGTCATGCCAAAAGAAGCGTTAATAGCATGTTGAAGGAGGTGATTCTCCCCCTCTACTCTGCTCTTGTGAGACCCCACCTGGAGTACTGTGTTCAGATGTAGGGCCCCCAACATAAAAAAGACCTGGACCTGTTGGAGAGAGTCCAGAGGAGAGCCACGAAATTGGTCAGAGGGCTGGAGCACCTCCCCTATGAGGACAGGCTGAGAGAGTTGGGGTTGTTCAGCCTGGAGAAGAGAAGGCTCTGGGGAGACCTTATAGCAGCCTTCCAGTGCTGAAAGGGGGCTACAGGAGAGATGGGGAGGCACTCTGCATCAGGGAGTGTAGTGACAGGACAAGGGGTAACAGGTATAAGCTGAAAGAGGGCAGATTTAGATTAGACATTAGGAAGAAATTTTTCACTGTGAGGGTGGTGAGGCACTGGAACAGGTTGCCCAGAGAAGCTGTGGATGCCCCATCCCTGGAGGGGTTCAAGGCCAGGCTGGATGAGGCTTTGAGCAACCTGGGCTAGTGGGAGGTGTCCCTGCCCATGGCAGGGGGGTTGGAACTACATGATCTTTAAGGCCCTTACCAACCCAAACCATTCTATGGTTCTATGATATAACCTTTTATCATTCACCTTAAAAACAAGCTGACAGGCACAAGAATTAATATGAAGGGAAATTTTCTCCTTACCTGTAAGCTTCGTCTAAGGACATATCCATTCTCTTCATGATATATGCGATAGCGATTGTGGCAGAACGAGATATTCCAGCTAAACAGTGCACCAACACACGACCATTTGATGCTTTTGCTTTTTCTGCACAGCAAAGAAATTGTCAACTGTCAAACTCAGCAGCATTATACCATGATGAAAAGTTTGCAAAAAAAAGAAATGTTATTTAAAATAGTTCAAAACTTCCAAATTAACTGCTAATTGCAAATCTCATGGAAGCTTTAAACAAAAATCACTTATTTTCTCTAGCACTGTATAGCATTGAGTATAGAAAAAGCATGTGACTACACACAGGAAACATACTGCAGTTACAGCATACCACATTTTAATGTGCACATAAACAACCCTATTTAGATGTCTGGGAAAGGTGATTGTTTCTAATTTTATATGCAAGTAAAAAGCAAGCATTCATGATGGAACAATTTGACCAGTTCAAATTTGGCTAGCTCGCTTCTCAAAGCTAAAGACAGGATCTGTATGTCTAATTTTCTAATTTGCTCTCTGCAGGCATATAGCAGGCATCTACCAGGTTGCCAGAAAGCAGAACTGTTCTCTTAAAAAGTGTCTTTGTTCCATAAGTACTGGAACATGCATTTGCCGAATCTCCGTTATTTTGCTTCTGTGCTTATAAAGTGATGGTGAGCATGTACATAAATCCTTAGGGTATTTTCATACCACCCTGAAACCATTCGGGTCTTCTCCAGACAAAACAGCAAGTCAGACACACAAAGGAATCCAGAAACGGTTTCAGAGAAAGAATTTAAATTTTCTTCTCACCTATAAAATCAACTGATTTATCCAACCAAGGCAAAATTTTCTCACAAAAGCTGTCATTCACAGGCACTCTCAGGAAATGGGATTCTGGAATAAAATCAGGCTTTGGACAAGTATTGCTGGCATTCAGTACATAGCCAATATCATTCTGCTGCATCAGCTCCTAGGAAAGAAAGAAAGATTAAGCCTAAAGAAGTCAAATGGTACCTTTGGCACATTACAAAGCTAAAAACCAAGCTGAAATTCATGTTGGAATTGCTCTAGCTGTATTAGAGGTATTCTGTTGTGAAAAAGACAACTTCTCAGCTTTTAATTCTTCAACTTTTAATGAGACATCCAGTGTGTCCAAATAACATACGGACTGCAAAGCACATAAAAACAAAGTTAATAACAGAAATAGTGGTAGAATACCTTCTGTTACTATGAAGCATCACTTCCAAGAGAAAGAATTTCTTGCTACTTTGGTTTAAATTCTCAGTGTGCAAACTGACAACATAACCAAACACTTCCCACGTGTAGTTTGCTGACCCAAATATGTGTTTTCTGGATCACATATCTAAGAAAGACTGAGGTTGCCCCATCACAGATATTGCTGAAAAGTATGAAATGAAACAGATGCCTCCTGCAGCCACCTTTTAAAGTGTCCGGGACTTCCTCCTTTCTAAGGCAATGTGCAAAACTCACTCAAAATCTTCAGAGAAAGAGCTAAGAGCTGAAGACCTTGAATTAGGCCATTTTCACACAGCACTAACTGCAGCTTTATAGGAGTTGTGCTTTGTGGGTTACTATTTAGTTGCTCCGTTTTCAGTCATTAGTCCTCTTGCATCTCAGAGATTATCACAGCAACAAGCAGAGAGATTCAAAGTATAAGAGTCAACTGGCCTTTTTAAGTAAGTCAATTTTTATGATTGTAAATAAAAAAAAAAGAAGACACCCCTTTTCTGCACCTTGCCATACCCTCTGTATTTAGAGTTGTTTGAAGTAATATCTGATGCAGCAGGTACCTCTGTACCAAAACACATGAAACAAGTACTAGAAAACTAGAGATGGCTCTACCAAAAACATCCAGTCTCCTGCAAGTAAGCATCTTGACACAGAAAGGCAATTAAGCAGGTTGGAGTAATACTGATCAAACAACTTTTCTGGTTCAGATATGATCTGGCAGTAAGTGACATGCAATACTATGCTTGGACAGTAGTTACACTGAATACAAACACTGGGGGGCTTTTGGCCAGATCTCTATGGCAACTAATGTCTGAAACTAAACTGAAACAGAAAAAAAAAGCCAAAAAAAACCCCAAATCTGATTTTAATCCAGTTGCTTTTATAGCAATTACATAAAAAAGAAAAGTTATTTCAATCCATGGGAGCAGTAGCAAGACTGAATTCTTACACTGCAAATTTCAGCTGGAGGACTACCAGTATGAAAACACTGCCATGAAGCCAAATGGTCACCTCTTCCCCATATGTATTTTTCCTGCAATTGTAAAGATGTTTTGGTGAAGAAAAACAGGCATTTAGCTATTTAGCTGAAGAGCCAGAACTCTGGTTCAAATCAGAGCAGTTTAAATAATGTGTGAAATTCAGTATACAGGTACACCGCCTGCGTGTTACAGTGTGGATGCAGAAGCCATGAATACTCACACACACACGTATATGCATGCATAAATTAAATGTTTGGTGAGAACAAAGGACTGCAGGGGAGAAGGGAATCTATCTCAGTCATTTCCAGAGGGAAGCATATACAACTGGTACTGGCTGCATTTTGAACAGGGAATTTACATGAATCTCTGCTAGTGAGCTGAATTTTGTTGTCTGGAACAAAATGAGCAGCTCCTCTAAACTTTCATCCAAAGTCCCTCACATCAGCACATTCAGAGGTGCCTGAAGGTGTGCACACCTTAAATTAATGAACATGCATCACATCCTAAACATACCCAATCTGAGGGACACAGGAGATGACCTGTTCCTCTCAAAGCAAATAATCAGAAACATAATTTGCAGCAATAGTCAAAAAAAAAAAAAAAGGGGGGGGGCTGGATGTTTTTGAAAAAAAAAAAAAAAAAAAAAAAAAAAGGGGGGGGGGCTGGATGTCTCAAAATAAGTTCTCAGCTTTACTACTTCTTACCCTGCTAGTTTCCTAGGTCATGCTCCCAGTTAAGCTCAGCTTCTCATCAATGACAACAGATTCCAATATGTCACTTATTTCCCCCTCTCCCTTCCCTCATGTCTCCCCAACTCACCAGCAAGCTCCCTTCAGCCCTGCGTGCCTTTCATAGCAACTCCATCGCACCCTCCTTTACTATATTTAGCTCTTACACGCTGATGGACTTAAAAGTTTAAAAGCAGGAGCGCTGTAGGGAAGTAGGGGAATATTTGGAATTTTCCAGAGAGGTTCTTGGCACAGGTGACCTGACTCGACCTGTGGTATCTTACACATGGCAAGGGAGACCCCCGATCCCCAGCATCTCTGCCCCTCTGTCCTGGGCGACACAGCTTTCCCCTTTCAGCATCCCAAGCTCTACAACATCAACTTCGGTGAAATAAGTATCTGCTCTAGATCACTACATTGAAATAGTGCCCCCAAGCCAGCCCACCTACTGTTGTTGCTGCTTGAAAGTGAGCGAGGAACAACTGGAAAAGCAGGCACAAAAGTACCTGCAGGGTCATGAACATTCCTCATGCATAAAAGAGGGAGCTGGTGAAGGTATCACTAACAAATGGACTTCCATGATGCATGTTTGTTCAGAATATAGCTAAGGGGAGGCTGTTGAATTTAGAAGAACAGAAAACCTTATTATTTATTTTAAAGACAAGCACTGGTGGGCCACACAGTCCAACCATCACAATTCCACAGTTATGCAAGGTTTTTGATGTGGAATTGATTATTCAATTGGGAATGAAAAGGCTGCAGACGCCAAGTCTGAAATCTCCTAGCCAAAAAAAACACCCTAAAATGTGTTGGTGCTTGTTTTTGAGACTAAGGCTAAAGAAAGAAGTTATGCTTCCTTCTGTTATAAAGTATCAATCATTCCCTGTGCAACACGCTCCAATATAATAACCATAACAGTGCCTTCATTGTAAGGCACCCAAGGGGGATGAAGTGAATTATGATGGAAGGAAGATCCAGAAATCCTAATACTAACAACTTTGTGAAAAGAAGGTAAATGCTCTTTTGTCAGCTTATTTACATTTTATGACTTGTTTAATCTGAAAATTAATGGTACCCTAAAATGTTATTTTGTTCCAGGAAATAAAATCCAGGTCTGGAAGAAAAGAAAGGATAGTTATATAAGTAGCAAAGCAGAAGGTTTTACAGTTTAAATGCTGGTACAAAACATGAGATGTAAGTAGGAAGCTCATTCAGGGCCATAACCACAACACTGAATTTTTTTCTGTTATACTAGCTTCCAGAGAGGACACTGTCACTGTGATAACTTACGTTAGAATTGTTTTGTCTTTCTTTCACAAAGAGCAACCTGTAAAAGTAAGCACCCTCTTGCAATGCCATCAGTATATCACACTGAGACCCAAAAAGTGAAATGAACTTTTCTGTTATAACTTTTCTTAAGAACTTTTTAGTATTTCAACCCTGCAAAAAAATATGAACATTTTCAGACTTACTTAAGCATTTAGAAAGAAATCTGTAAAGCAAAAATATAAAGAACCTCCTAAGACTTTTCTGAAGTAATAATTCATTTTACTAAAGGACACAAACCAAGTATTTGTGTTTGCATATCTTTCAAAAATAAAGCATTATCAGCAGTGGTATTAGTGGCAAATAGCATTAGTATTCTTAAAAGGTCATGAATACAGATTGTCTCACAACAAGACAAGCATTTCCCTACCCGTGCACTTAGAGATAAGCTTGTAAAGATCCTGAAAAGATAAGCTCATCTTGATAAAACATGCTGAAAATTCCCACCTTTAAATCATCAGGTTGAACAGTAGTGCAGATAGAGTTCTTTTTGCAGATATTTTTGAGACATTTAGATTTTTTGAGAAATCAGTATGTTTGGTCAATGGAAGGGATCAGGGAAACTCACAGATAGCATTTGAAGCCAAAATAAGGTCCATGTATACAATTACCTCTTAATAGTTTTGGGAATCTTATTCAAATTTTTTCAGAAAATTATTTTTAAAATATCTGGATTTGAATTTAAAAAAACCCTTTCCTAATCTTAACAGAAGGCTGATTTCTTCTCCCCAGTACCCAGCAAAGCAGCAAGGCCATTAAACTAGAGCATGGAAATGGAACCACTTATCAGCTCCTAGACTGTCCTAACAGAGACCTGCAGCTGCAGAGCTTCCTGATGTCTGATGAGGAACATGCCACAATATTAAGACTGAGAGAGAGCCACCACCAGGTCTAAACTCTTCCTGTTGTGGTGGGTTGACCTTGTCTGAAAGCCAAG